CATCGTGAAGACCTTGCAGAAATGACCTTGCGACCTGCACTTGCTACGGCTAGCTTTGGAACCCGCGGATCCCTCATTTCAAACGTTGATCATCTGGTTCACGGGCTACATGATCATGTTGCTCATTTACAGAGCCCAACTATCCATTCTACTCTTTCCGTCAGACTTTCTCTTGACAAGTCTGGACGTGAATACTCTGATAATAATTGCGGTGACGTCAACAATGATTCACCAATCAATGAGGGTTCATTTTCTGCTGACCATAATACATGTTCGTCGACAGGGGTTACAGTGCTTCATCTATATGCGCCTCCTAAGTGCCTCGATAATCTTCCTCTTGTCTCGGACATCTTCCTTAGTCTTCCTAGGAGTGCTGATCTGGGGCTTCGCCTAAAATTTGCTGATATGGTTGTAGGACAGTGGCTTTGTCTGCCTGTTGTTTCTGCCGGTCAGTCTTTAATACACTTATAATTTCCGGAAAGTCTTTTTAATTCTATTTCTGCTCTCGCATGCTTTCATATTCATCAATTTTTTTTTCATTAACCCTCTGTTACTATTTAATCGAAGAGCTATTAGCTTATGTCTGTATTACTATGATTGTAGCTACTTTTTTACCCAGCTAAATACTTAGTTTGCTTCAAATTTTACCACTATCTCATGTGCTATATTGAACTCACTATTTTTGTTTTCTCGTTCTCAATATAAATATTGATATAATTATTTCTCTTAACACTCTCTGGCAGGACTTCGTTGGTCTTCTAGTGATCCATCTAAGTTGAGGCTTATCGACACATCGGAGCCTGCTTCGCACGGACACCATGCTCCTGTTTATCTATTGGCCCTTCAGCCAGGACTGGTTTACCTTTTGCTTGGTCTTGCTGATGCCACTAATCACTCAAATATTTTAGGCGATGGGGTTCATACTAACCGTGCTAGTATGCACTCTTCGCAAAGGAAAGACCTGCATGAATTCACTCTATCTTCCGATTCAGTTGATGCCCCCCAATTGCTCCATGAAATTTCCATTGCAGCACTACCAATATTACCTGCTCACTCAGTCTACCCATCTGAAGTCCACCCGCGTCTTTTGGTTTTAGATAGTTTTGGTGCAACTGTCGCAGATACGATTACTCCCCTCTCTGATTCAATGGAGACAAAGACTACATATACGTCATCTATGAAATCTTTCCGTGATAGCATCGCTTTATCGTCTCGCCAGCCATGGGCTCGTTCTTCGGAGCCAGGGAATCTGGGTTATACTGCCATTCGCTTGGCCCTAGTTCTTCCGGAACATTCGGCATCGCCCTCGCCTAGCGATACAAGGTAGGCAGACAGGAAATTTCTAGAAAATCGAAGAAAAGGCAACTCGAATTTTACACTAATTGCATTCACTTTCTTCCAGGTTCTCTGGCTTTTTTAAAATTTTTTTACTGTTTTTATTTTCCTAAAGACTAATTTAACAAGCTTTAAAATTTTTCATA